AACATTTTGCATGTGTACAGCTGGATTTTTTAAAAGTGGAGATTCCATGGTCCAGTTCTGTACTCGTATCTATTTGTAGAGCACCCTATCTAAATAATATTGCTCGCTTAATCTTCATATTCTCTGTGGCAACTTTTAAATCAAAGATAAAACCTGCTTGTTCCTACATGATACCGCTTGATGCTGAGTTTTGATCTCTGTTCCCATGCTTTGAGAGTTTATGTGACTTTTAAATATTGTGTGGCGTCAAGAATGTTGTTTCCGCTTTATTATAAAAGGTTTAGAAAACTTGTAAATCTTTTTTTCCTTTTAACTTGATTTTCTACACTATGAATTGTAATTATACATTTTTGTGACATTTAATCATTATGCTAATATGAAAGGGACTGCTCGTGAAATGTTTCTTAATTTTAAAAACAAAATTTTTAAAAATTGATACCACCTTTGTTTCTATGAACTGTGTTAAAGGTGACTGAGAACGTAAAGTAAAGTGACTCTCATTTCCTAGAGTGGAACTTCTGGTTCAAAGTGGTAAACTTAAGGACTTTTTCAAAGATATCTCATTAATCCTTGATCATAAAAAGGTTGAAAGGGTCGGTAAGAATTACATCTTACACTCTGAGTGGACAGAGTTGCAAATTGGTACAAATCGATTAATATATTTAAACTTAATCTGTAAGTCATCTTAAGGAAAAAGGGGTTAAAACTAATTGTTTTTCTCACATAAATGTGAAATTGTTTTAGCTGTAAAATTGGTTTAATAAATCCTTAAAAGGAAAGTCAACATTAACATTTCATTAAGCTTCCTTCATATATTTGAAAACTATAGACCAGGCAAAATTCAATTAACGAACAGAAATTTTGAAAATAAACGGAAAATTCTTTTTAACGAACAAAAAGAATCGTTAAATTGTCAGTTGAAAACAAACGGTTACTTGATATGTATATCTTTAAATAAACATTTATTGCACAGCGAATTAAAAAGATATAATTTTTTTTTCTCTCTTTACAGATAAGTAATATCTAACTGTTTTTAATAAATAACTATAATTTACCGGCATTTAACTAACTTCTGATGGTAAAAAAATCGAACATTTTTTGGGGCAATCATAATTATAAATATTACTGTCATAATACATAATTGTAGAAACTTAGGCGGTGCGGCGTTTATTAATTGACTAATAGAGTAGTTGATTAATTGATTGGTTGACTAATAGGCTAGTTGATTAATTGATTGGTTGACTCGTTGATTATTTGACTTGTTGACTAGTTGACTAGTTGATTAAACTCCTGTATTCGGGCACAAAAGTTGCAAACATTCACGTAAACGGATTAATTTCAAACCTCCAAAAATATAGTAAAATAAATGTTGATGAATAAAATGGTTTTAATTGTTTAATCAGTTAAATTGAACTCGGTTGTTTAAGTGGAATTACTATGGATTGCAAAGTTATATTTGGATTTGATTATTCACTTAGTTAAAACGTTTCACTATTTGATGTTTTCCTTTGTCAGAGTACAGAGAAATTGTCGAAGGATTGCTTAGGTATGGACTTCTCCGAGGGGAGGTGTTGTAATAGACGACATTGCGTGGGGGGGGGGGGAGGGGGGGGTTAGAAGGCAGATTTTTGTCAACTATATATATACAATTTGTGTCGCGTTAGATACACTCAAGCAAATTACTCACAAGAATTAAATCTTTTATGTTTTTCGTAAAAACTTCTCTTAACTGAGATTTTGCCACAAACTTAAATTTTCTTATCCCAATATATAATAGTGTAAATTCAAAATGTGAACTATCAAAGATCATATGACATTGGGTTGCAAAGGAAAAGGAATTAGAAAATCAAAGTTTGTGGCAAAGCTCAATTATTTTGCTTTACTCATACTTCTGAATAAAAGAAATAAAAACTAGAGTAACAGATTTAACTTTAACTACTTTTGTCTATAGTTTGCAGTGATATTTGTGTTTAACCCTATCCCTGCTGGGGTACTTGAAAACAAGGATATGCTGGTGGGGGGGGGTCAATTTGACCCCCCCCCCTCTAAATCCCATGTTTTATGTCCAAATATGACAAATGATACATCATTTAAAAGCTCTTGTGCTCTACTTTTAGAATCTGCAAAAAAATTGCAAATTTGCAAAAATTGAATTTTTCATCGCAAAATCCAGTTATATAGTAAAAATGTTTGCAAAAATAATTTGTCCAAAAAATAAAAAATTATACATTTTTGAAAAGCCCTTTACCATGCCATTTCAAATATGCAAAAATTTTTGCAAAATTTTAAATAACCTGATTTTTAATCAAGAAAAACTAAAAATGTGCAAATTTCCTTTGACAGATTGTTTGCAAAAAATTTGCAATTTTTTTTCGCAAAACTTGTGCAATCCGTTTCCTTATGTCATAGGCTTTCCAAAAAGCTAAATTTTATCAAAATCTGACAAGTGAAAGTGAGTCAAAACAAAGATTTAGTTTGTTACAGGCAAAAGCAGTCATTCAGGCAGTGTGCCTGAGGACTCAGGCAGTTAGTATTAAAGCCCGGTTTTAGGCCTAAAGGGAGGGCTTTGGGTATGTAAGAAAAGTCAGAAAATTTCAACAGCCTTAGACCAATACTTTTTGAGTTATGTAAAAAAAACTACAGGGGGGGTCAAATTGACCCCCCCCCCTCCAGCAGGAACAGGGTTAAGAAACGTCAACATAAATGAATAAACCGATTGGGTTACAATTATATGGTATCTTATTTGATTATACAGAAAGATTATGCTTGGTTAAAATTTTGCAAAAAACATTACTAGTTTTGCGAATACATAAACCTCTCTAGAAGGGAATGATTCATTTGGTTTACTGTCCTGTTTTATTTCACGTGTATTTAATATTTATATTGTTATTGTATACTGGATTTGAATAGAATTTCTATTATATATAAATTCAATATTAGATATCATCACTGTGTAGTTTGTATAGAGAGTATAAAAAATATATTTTTCGTTGAAAATATATTAGATGATAAAAAATGTATTTTGTAAAGTCTAGCTTTTTTATCAGTAACATTATACTACATATTGACTATTAAAGATACAAGTGTGTTGAATCCTGCTTGTATATAAATTCAATTAAGTTTAAATAGTAAGTTGTTCTGGCAACAGAAAAAGGTCTTGAGTATCTTGAATAAAGTACTACGGTATTTACAAGTTTGTCTTATTTTAAGCACACAGTTTAGATTTCTGATGTTTATTAAAACATTAAAAAATATATTTAACATTTGTTCCTTTATGTCCTTTAGAATATAACAGTTTGAAAATATCTGTCAAAGCATTAACTAATAAACAAAAAGTAAAAGTATCAAAATAAAACAAGTGTTATTTATTAATACTAGAAATTCAAGGCGCTTCGCGCCCTTCTCTCTAGCCTTAGAGGGCGCTTCGCGCCCATCTTCTAAATTAGTTGTGAACATGTTCTCTTTTTGTACATCGCAAAACAAAACAAAAATAATTCGCGGATTTTCACAAAAAATTTCGCGGATTTTCAAAATTTTTAAAAATTTAATGACGATCGAATTTTGATGGAGACAAATATTTGAAATTTTGATTTTTCATAAACCTTCCCTGGGGTCTCTAGATGTCCCACAAAAAATTTGGGCCCGATCGGTTCAGCCGTTTTGACGTTTATTTGATACAAACAAACAAACAGACAGACAGACAAGCCAAATTTATATATAGATTGATTCAGAAAAAAAAACGGTCTGTTAAAAATATTACAGAGGGTTGTTTCTTTTATCGCCGTTTGACCAATAATACCAACCATTGATTCGTACAGTCTTAACCTGGTATCCCATTTGTGCTTTTTTCTAATATAAATGGGGGGGGCCCCAACCCTTTGATTTTGCCCTTAGAGTTTAGATAGGGGAGTGTGATCCATGTCTACAGTCCAACTTTTCAAGGACTGCACATTAAAAAAACTCTTACTTTAATGGTTAATGTGCAAGGGAGGATTTAAAAAAAAGTTTAAAAATTATGCCGGATAAATGTTCATAAATAATTATTTAAACTTTTGACAAATATTAACATGTGATACATTTTATTACATTCATTTCAAAGGCTTTTTTAAATATATAAATGTTAGCCCTGTAGCTTAATTAATAAAAAGTTATCAGGTTAGTAGATTAAAGGGTTAGCTAGGTGTGCTCCTAATTCCGAAAAATTACATCTGTACATTGAAGACGACTTTTTTTGATCCCTTACTAAATTATAGTTTATAGTAAACAAAATGAAGGACGTTACTTGACAACTTCTGTTGAGTGTTGTTTACATGTTTTTGTGTCTATACTGTTTGATAAATTTGGTAGAAACCAAAATTGAAATTAAAAGTCGTCCTAATTGTATTGATATATACGACAACGACTATATCTGTTTGCAAACATGTGAACAATGCTTTTAAAGAGTTAAAAGTTGGAATTTATCAAAACTCAGAAAACGTCATATTTAACCCTGTAGGTGTATAAATGCCCATGAATGCAGTTAACTTCAATATCGTCATATTTAACCCTGTAGGTTTAGATATGAACCAAAGCCAATGGATACCGTTAACTTTAATAACGCCATATTTAACCCTGTAGGTTTAAATATAAACCAAAAATGCCCATGAATACAGTTAACTTTAATAACGCCATATTTAACCCTGTAGGTTTAAATATGAATCAAAAATGCCCATGGATACAGTTAACTTTAATAACGCCATATTTAACCCTGTAGGTTTAAATATGAACCAAAAAATCCCAAAAAGTAAATCAAATATAACAAGAAACCTCTTCAATTGTCATTTGTGAGTATAAATTGCTCTTGAGATTGAAATTTTTAAGTTGAGACCTATCAGACGTTTATACCGTGTATAACTTTTCATAAAGAGTGAAAATTTAATAATCAAAATCCTCCTGGCGTTCTCAGCTCAACTACCAAGTCTTGCCAGACACTCCCTTTAAGTTTTTTCTCTTTTTTTCAGATGAGGTTGGATTTAAAACTATTGCTTACTGCAACTGTAATCATACTATGCATTACATACACTATATATATCACAGGTAAAATACAAAATTACGAAAATCATTTAAAAAATTATTCTGTGTTGTTCTTTTATTTACAATCATTTACACAAGAAAATAAACATTAATAAACAAATTTTTATCTTTTTATTTTAAAACATTAGAAACAATCTTTTAGATTGATAATTCATATATTTGGCTTACGTACAGTGCTTAGCGTTTATATCAATACGAAGGAGACGACTTTTCTATTCTCAGCACTGTACTGTACTGTACCTAAATAACTCATGTTTAGGATTATTGGATGACCAGAACAACAAGAAAGATTTCTTAACGGACTTAAATTCTTATATTTCGGAAATTCGCAGCTCACCACGTTACCGTAAGATTTTAGAATTAAAGGGACTGTTAACGAAATCTTTATAAAATTTCGATTCCTAAACTTTAAAAAAGTAATTTTTTCAATTCTGAATTTAAATTCAGGGTCAATTTTCCATAATGTATATAAAGTTTTAAGTTATAGTGTACATACGCTAACACAATGAGAGCGTTTGGAATAGGAAGACGACATTCACGTTAATACTTTTGTTGTTATTCAGCAAAACGTTTTACCAGTAGCTTAGTTACCTCTATTAGACGTCTTCCTATTCTACGATTGTATGGATGTCACTGTACATAAATTGTACTTGAACTCTATTTAAATTATGCAGGCCAAATCTTCATTAGAATTGTATAACCTCAAAAAAATGAATTTTTAATTTAAAAATATGTGAAACATTATTAAAAATAAGTGAAATAGTTCTTCCAATAAATAAAATTAATATTGTTGACAAACAAAAATACTTTTGATAATTTAATTTATTAAATTTTATTTTAGATGAAATAACTACAGCAGCACAGGAGCCACCTACCGTACATGTAGCTTCCAATGTACCTCATGTACATGCTAACCTGCATCCTGATAACCTCACTCTCATTGATATTAAAAACTTTAAACTAAATATCAACCAGGATATTTGTAATGTGTCAGAAATAGGTAATGTTTACCTATATCATTTAATACTCATTATTCCTAGGGATGGATCGTTTTCACTCTTTTAAAAAACTTTTCTACGTCGTTTTGCTAACGACGTAGAAAAAACGAAACGGTCGTTTTGCTAACGACGTAGAAAAAACGAAACGGTCGTTTTGAAAGTAGGGTAAAATTTATACACCATGTTTCTTATGCTCATCATCATTCTTATCATGCGCTTTTTGCTCATTAACATCATAAAATGTATATATTTAAGTCTTATTTGATTTTTTAAAAATTTCTAATAGTAAATTATTGTGAGAAAAATTATTTTAGTTCAATATTAAAAATAATATCAAAAATATCTCATCTAAATAAAATATAATGATTCCTTGTCACAATATGCATGCACTGGAATTAAGTAGGTTATCATGATATCACTAAACAAGTGTGTATTTCCTATAATTTGCATGTACACCTAGGACTGGTAACAATTATACACTCAGCAGTGGAAAATACTGAAGCTAGAAGAATTATCAGGAAATTTTATCAAAAAATAATGAAAGTAACAAACTCAATCACCATTAAAGGGAGTGAGCGGCAATGTATGGTACTTTTTTATGATTATTAAATAACGAGGACAAAAAATGTAACAAAAAAAATTATGTAGTAAATTAATTAGTTGTATAGGAACAGGTTGAGAAAATAAAAATAACCTCTTATTTTCGAAAATAAGTAATCTTATTCAGTTACTAGTTTTTATAATCTCTCCTTATTATTCACAAACATTTTCTGTCGATTTTCTGGAATTCTTATAGAAAAGACGACATTTGAAGAATCATAAGAACAAATTCGTAGATAATAAGAAATTCAATATAATGATAAAAAAAGAGGTAATTGTTTCTAACAATGATTTATTGGCAAATTTCTATTGTGAAATAAAACATCTAATTAGTTTACTGTAAAAATTTTGATACATTTTTCGTCGTCGTTCTAAAATAATTAAAAAATAACGATTCTCAAAATGTAACCACCAATGGAGGATTTTGAACGTTAACTTTGCACTCAAACTCAGTAATTTTACACCATTAAAACGTTTTATATGCCTCAAATGAATCCTAAAAAATGTCTCCACAATACTACATTCTCAGTTCAACTACCGTATATTGCCGGTCACTCCCTTTAAACTTATTACTCATTTTTACATTATTTTTACTAAATAACATACAAAATTTGATATATAAGATATATAGAGAGACCTGGGGTAATCCTAATATACCTGGGGTAAATACAAGGTAAAAACACTTTAACCATGTAAAGGCTTACGCTTACATCCAGGATTCAATAATAGAACATGTCCTAGGCGGTTTACAAACAGACGACCCCAGGCGTAATTGTACACGTATCGTGAGGGGAGGTACTGATAGGTGTGGCTTCATACGGGGAATAAAATCCCCCAGAAGTTTTGTTTAATAATAATGAATCTCTGTATGGCGTGAAGCATCCCCCCCCCCTCCCTAGAAAAGGATTTAGGGTAAAGTTATAGGACTGCAATGCATGTTTATAGTCCAATTTTTCAAGGCCAGCTTATTAAAAAATAGAACCGCTAGTTTGGTTGCTAGAAAGGTTTGAAAAAAATGAAGAAAAGGTCAAAAACATGTTTTTAAAAAAAATATTTGTTTTGTTTTTGACAAATATTGAGATGTGATGTAATTCTTCATCCGTTTTTATACTTTTTATTTCTTTAGATTTAGATTTAGCTAATAATATAGAGGTTTTTTTAAACACAGACCAGACTTTATACCGCCCCTTACTGTACCCTACCCAATGCATAAAAAAACTTTAAATTACTATTCCTGTACTGTAACGGAGTTAGCCAAAAAATTTCAAGGTTAGGTGTCAAAAATGGATTTGAAAATATTATGCTTTTGAACCAAAAAATTGATTAAAAGGGGTTTCTTCTTCAGGCTTGTATTTCTACTTGGAATGGTATCTGATGTTGGACTGCAGAAACCATTATTAGATGAAGCCATGCGGTTCAAAGATATAGTACAAGGTAGGCTCAATTCAATATATTACTAGGATAGTGTTCGTCATGAAATATTCTCAATATTTTGATTTAACATATGTTCACAAACCCTCTCCCTATTGGATTGATTTTTGTTTAATTAATTAGAGCTCGGCAGAAATGCATCCAATGAGATGGGAGCATTGTTTTTATATTTTATTTGTTCGTTTTCAGAACTTTTGTTAATTTTTCATCAATTACATTTGAATTTTAACTGAGAGATTGTTCATTCAGTAAAATTATTTGTTCGGTAAGATTTTTTCTTCAACAAAATAGTTCAGTTAGTAAAAAAACGGTATTTTCAAAAGATCGTTCTAAAAACAGTGGTGTCAGTAAAAAAAAGATAAACTTTTTTTTAAAGTTTGTTAGAAACAAATTTTCGTTCATAAAAAAATACTATAGTTTTTTTTATAATTTCGTTAAAAAAATTTGTTTATTCAGTACAAACTAATATTTTTTTTAAAGTTCATTTGTTCGTCCATAAAATGCAAACGATGGTTAACGATTTTAAAATCGTTTGTTTTTTAAAAATTTTTAACGTTATAATCAAATTTGTTCATTCATTTCTGAAAGACAACATTGCTCACTAAAAGTTTAGTTAATTTACAAAACAGTGTTATACCTATAATCACTCAATTTGAACATTCCTTGGCTTTAGGAGATTTCTTGGACACCTACCACAACCTCTCCTACAAGAATGTGTTTGGTAAACTCTGGGTTTCAGAGTTCTGTGAACAAGCTGATTTTGTTGTGAAAACAGATGATGATATGTTTATAGATCTGTATGCTACTTATTTCTTCACCAGGCATGTCATTGAACATTTAATCAACAATCAACTGAATAAGTTAGAAAATAAAGTAAATGTTAGGCTAAGATAAAAACATCAAGGGTTAATGCTTTAAAAAGTATTTGTGTAAAGAGAAACAATGATATTTTTGGCAATATTTGAAATCTCCACAGTATGTGGGAAATAGTTTTCTTCTTTGCCCAGTGTGGCATGGGATGCCTGTACTAAGAGAAACAAACAGCAAGGTAATATTTTAAAAGATATTTCTAATTTGTCTTAATTCTGGGACCAAATTTCACGAATTTCATCTGTCTACTGCCATGTGGTTCAAATTGGAATCACCGATTCAAATTGTTAGCTGAGTTTCATGGCCAGTTTTAATAAAACTTAGACAATAAGTTTTGTCTCGGTAACTTGTATAAGTTTGTTTAGATTAATTACTATCAATCTTTCACATGCACCTACTATAAGGGTACATAACTAACAAATATATTTTATGTTGCTAAATTCATCTTTGAAATTAACTCCTCACCTGTATGTGTGGAATTCCTTTTAAAAAACTAAACTCTCTTGATTTGTTTACATTAAAAGACACACAAATAGTAATCTCATCTTAACTAACAAAATTATAGATTAAATAGTTATTTGATCAGCCAGGTAGCTCAAATTTATTAAAATCAGTCCCTGGTTTACAAGCCATATAAAATATGTGTTTTAATGTTCCAGAAAGAATTCTGGGTTTTCCATAACCTTCTCCATAAATGAAAAGAAAATAAAAATAACGATCATTTCCAGATGTAACTTATAAACCAGAAATCCAATGAAAGAGAGCTTTTATATATAGTTTATTATACTGAATGCTCTTAGCTATGCAAATAGTGATTTTGAATTTATATTATTGTAGACCATACTCATACGGACCCCCAGGCTTCCAATTTAGGCCATGAGATGGCTTCAGGGGTGCTGGTTTAGGCACCTAGGAGGCCATGAGATGTCCTCATGGGTGCTGGTTTAGGCACCTAAGAAGGCCATGAGATGTCCTCAGGGGTGCTAGACACCATGTAGAGGCCATGTAGAGGAGGGTTGAGAGCCAAAGCCTATTTGAGAGGATAAAGGCCATGGTGAGGCTTTCCTCAGATTTTGCTAATATCATCTTACTAATATATATTTGCATCTACCCATGGGTCCATGTTGCTATCTATCTGTTTAACTATTTCTCTGTGTAATCTGATGCCGGCAGCTGTTTTTATTTCTGTTTTATTTCTTTTTATAAATAAACCTCAATATAAATTTATGCATGAAAATATTTTTTTTCAGTGGTATGTGAGCTATGATGATCTTTCAAAAGAGGAGGCTCCAGGTTATCAAGCTTTTAACCTAATTCTATTTACTTTAAAAGAGATAATATACTAAGTTTGCAAGAATTATCATGAAATTGGGCCCGGGCATTGTTTTCAAATACAATTATTTTTCATTTTGTTTTGGATTTTTAAAAACTAACAAACCTTTGCTTTTTGGAGAATTAGTTTAAATAGTAAAAACTAACAAACCATGTGAGTTTTAAGCTTTCAAAAACGAAAATCAAAACAATAAAACCATAGCGTTAGTAAACTTGTATAGAAATTCATATTGAAGTGAAGAAAATGAAGGTATAAAGATAAAAGTTTTAAAAACTATCTATCCCTTCATTTCAACATTTTCTTAAGTCTTTGCAAAGAGGTAATTTTTATATGTATTAATGTGGTTAATGTAGTATTAGGTGAAACGTCTGGCTATTATATTATTATTATTATTAATATTGTTCAGGAAATTACTACCCACCATACTGCTCTGGATGGATTTATATTTTAACACCTGGTACAGCTGGCCGGTCAGTTTTCACAATATTTACTCTTCAATTTAAATCTAATAAAATACATTTAAAATCAATATGAACAAAAACCTAATTATCAAGATTAGAAAATTAGAATTTGGCCAGGTTTTCCCTGTTCACCTTAAAAATTTGAAAGAAACCTAAGACCTAAAAATAACAATATTTGTTACAAAACCTGCTTAAAAAACAGTAATCAGAGCTGAAAACTTTAGAATGGGATATCCGTAATCCAAATTGGTTAATTAATTTGGAGATTAAAACAAGAGGAGAACAAGCATTATTTAATCTCGAGATTAAAAATAAAAGGAGATCAAGCATTAATCTTGATATCCACCATTAAAAGTTTTCAGCTCGGGTTTTTCAAAAAGATTTACAAAAAAAAATGTTTTGTTTTAACATTCTTAAAAATGTTTATCTTTAACATTTTTTGCCCTAGTTACACTATGCCAAATTTTAACCATAAGAGAAGATAAATACAAAAAAAGAGGTTTTAGGTTCAATGTTGCTTTTTATTTTTTCCCAGGATGAAAATTTATTAAAAGTCAACTTTACCATTTAGAAATGTTGAAATCTTTACGTGACGCCTTTTAAGTGTACAAAACCTCATAATAAAAATAATTTAAATAACAAAATTAATACTCATTGTTAATAAAGACAGTTTAGTTAAAAATGAAATCTAGATTTTAAAATAAAATTCTAGCTAATATTGAAGTTTAACTAATTACGGCCTTATATTTAGACTAGCAGATGTTGCTGGGAAGGCTAAGTTTTTATGGATAGATGATGCTTGGGTCACAGGATACCTTGGTAAAAATTTTTATTCAAACGTTTTTCCCAATATCAAAATATCTTAGAAATAGTTTAATGTCAAAAATTGTCCTAAATTGGCAATTAGATATGTATTTCAACCGACAAGTTTAAATCTTGAAAATGCTTTCCAATTTTGGTTACAATCATTTTGCTTAATAATTTTATACTAGTTATATCTAGAGATGGGTGTGATTCATTTGTTCATCCTTCTTTAAAGGGACTGTATAGGACAAATTAAAGGGGGTATAGGCTGAAATCTAAGCATTTTAGGAGTTGTTAGTGACTCGTTAAAGTTCTATTTGATGTTTCTGCTCCGAGAAATTGACATAAAACTGTGTCAAAGGAGTTGAGTTTTTACCACAAACTCTGATTTTCTAATCTCTATATCTTTGTAACCAAATTTCGTAGACCTTAGATATTTCAAACTATTAATACTTAAAGATAAAATAAGCTAAATTTGAAATATCAAAGGTTTGCACCATCAGGTTGCAAAGATATTGGGATCAGAAGATTTGAGTTTGTGGCAAAAACTCAATTCCTTTAAACAATAATTTATACATATATAAAATGGTGTATAAAAATCATAGGTTTTAACATATCATATTCAGTCAATGATTTAACAAATTTTATTATGACTTATGATAAATAAATAAATTTTTGAAAGAAAAATCTTCTATATTATAAACCTCTTCGCTCATATATTCATACATATTTGTATATATGTTAGCTATAGCTGGCCATTCCATTTTTTTCGAAAATATCATTTCTTTAATAACATTTTTTTCAAATCAATTTTTTAAATTCCACTGGCAACGCCTGGCACTTCAGCTAGTTTCTTATTTAAAGGAAAAGGTGAAAAAGTGGTGGTAAATCACAAAACAGACAGATATAAACAGATAGAGATAGATCAAGTTTGATATAGATTAATGTAATTTAGAAATCTATAGATATATCATTTGTTTTGTAAGGACCAATTAATCAAATTTACTTTAGTGAAAGAGTTAAAGTTTAAACATCTGGATATGATGAGATTTTTCAACATGGGCATGGAGAAAGGACTCTTGTTCAAATCAATTCAAAACCCAGAAATTTATCACAAGGAATAGTCATGTATTGGAAGATTCCCTTATTAATATGATAATATTAATTTTATAAATGTAACTTTTTCTGAATTTGAGTTCAGTGATTTAACCAATACAACTTAAAAAAAGGATTTCTTGGCTGTACCATCTAGTAGGAACTTTGAGGTAAAACTTAAATGACGAAAATTTTTCTTTATTGATTGAACCGTTTTAAATAGATTTTGTACTGCTAAAAAAGTTATTTTTACATATAATCTCCCAATGACATCACCTGAATTTATAAAAGCAGTTTCCATGATTATAAAGTTGATATTATTAATAGATAGCATACACATTAAATGCACATGCTCGCTGGTGTTACGTCAATAAGGTAATACGTTTAAGTCTTTTCTTCTTTTTCATTTTATGTTAAAATTCAAGATATGAGTTAAAGTGAGGGAATACAAATTTGTCAATTTAAATCAAACCTTAAAAACAAAATGTAAATAAAGTGTATTTAATAATCTTATTTTTTCTGTTTAAATTACATATCATTGTTTAAAATTCCTTAATATACAATTCATAATTTGTAATTTACATATTTAAGATTTTTCAACATATTTAACAATTCAATTCATTAGATACAACAAGGGAATATTCATACTAATACAAATGTAATACAACATTATTTTAAAATCTATATTATAAGTTTATATAAAAATGAAACTTAAAATATTCTCCCAAAAGAGTTGAGTTCTTGCCAGCAATCTCAAGTTTTCTACTCCTTAAATCTTTGCAACCTGACATGTAAATCTTTGATATGTCTAACTTGGATGTTTTATATTACGGAATTTGTAGTCTGAAATATCTAAGGTCTGCGACATTGGGTTGCAAAGATATAGGGATTAGAAAATCAGAGTTTGTGGGAAAAAAATTAATTCCTTTAATTAAATTCTTTTTTAATAGTGTTTCAACAATATCTACAGTCCACAAGCCAACTTATCCAGCATAGATGTTATACCAGATGATACGGTTAATAGGGTGTTAAATCCTAAATTATAAACAAACTATAATGTCTAATTTAAAAAAATTTAAAACATGTTTTTTGTAAACAGGCTGAAAAACCCAGCATTTAAAAAAAATTAACTGGTTTTTTAAGTGACCATTATAAACACAAGGCCAAAATACTTAAGATATTGAATTGATATTTTAATGAATTAATTTATAATGGATTTTAATCTTTACACAATGTACATTTTACATGGACATAAACAATCAAATAATTTATGTTAAAAGAATTCTGCAACAAAATAATTTATGTTAAAAGAATTCTGCAACAAAAATAATTTATGTTATAAGAATTCTGCAACAAAAAGTAAGTGGTTTAAATAATTCAGTCCGTGTTAACATGTTTTAACACCTGTGAGTGCTTTTTATACTGTGATATTTTAACCCTAAACTAAAAAATGCAAATTAGCAGCATCTTGGGCTGGGCACTTACAGAATTTTTGTTCCTATCATCTGTTTGATAAGGGCTAATTGAACTATTTTAACTTACAGGGTCATCAAATATAATGTTAAGATTTAATAGTTTTCTTAAAATTTTCCAGACATAATTTAACCAATAAGGTTTGGTCAAGATTGTTGTATTACACTTCTATTTTAACAAAAGGCTAATTTATAGTTCAATTTCCCGAAAATACTTTTAAAGTAAGTTTATGGGGTACTATGGGGTATTTTTTGACTTTTTTGAAAGTAATAAAAAATACCATTTGTTAGCTGAACAAAGCCCAGTCCTTGGTTGATTAAACCATTTAATATAAATTCATTACTCTTTGAAGAGAAAACTCCTAGATCTCCAATATCATTTACTTAATTGTTATTAGGCCTGAGGCCGATTTTAGAGAACTTGAACCTTGTCTCAATTTTGAGACACGGCTCAAATTTGGTTGATTCCACATGAAATTGTATTCTGTGTTTCAAAATTTGAGCGGGGGCTCAATTGTAACTGGTTTTAGGGGGTTCAGTTACGCGGTTTAAATTTTTTTTTAAATTCCACCTCTGGGCCACTTTCTGTTAACTGTGATATCACTTGATGTTTATATCTTGACCCAACCAGACTAAAACCTTTCGTTTATTATAGATGGTAATAACATCTTACGAAAGGTTCATTATGGTTCAGATTGGGTTAAACATGACAAAGTTGCTCAGGCCTAATTGTTATTGTAAAAGGCATGTCAATTATAATTCTGTTATTCAAAATAAATCTTTAAACTAAATATTTTTATTTTTTACAAAAATTACGAGTTATCAATAGAATGTGTGAAATAAGAAAATAAAAGTCCAATTTTATCATTAAATATTTACAATGACATTGTGTGGGCAATACCTTGAAGGTCCTGAGTACAAGAAAAACAGCTTTTTGCTTTGTCCAATATGGAATGGGATGCAAATTCTTAGAGATCCTAAAAGCAAGGTAAAGCTTTTAATTTCATTTGTTTAAAAATTGTATTATAACATTTATGTGTCTAGTGGTTTGTCAGCTATGATGATATATCTAAAGAAGATGGAGGTTAATTACTTTAAGCAATTTTATTTTGATTATGATTTAGAAGACTTACAAATTGAAATTGTTTTACCCTTCACCCTTACCAATGCCCCGGGCATTATGGGCTTTCTTCTAGAATGCTTCTCAAAAAAATCAGAAAAGCAAAAAATTGAAAATCTTTTAAAAAATTTCTTGCAAATTGCAGATGAAATAAAATATTTTTTACCTTTCAAATACAGGTCAGTAAACTGTCCGAAATTGGCACTTCCAAATCACTTAAATCTCTGGTTAATTAATTAGTTGGATCAACTTTTGGGAAGCCATAGCCAATTGTACAAAATACATAGAGAATAAAGATTTCTCCTTCAGTGTTAAAATCTTACAATTTAACTTTTTTAAGATAACATTTTTTTCAGCAAATGTATTTCCACCTTACTGTACTGGATGGATTTATATATTATCTCCTGCTACTGCTGCAAGGTCACTTTTAACTTCTTACTTTCAATTTATAGAATTATAAAACCAGGGTGCCAAACAATATTTTCCAAGGGGGAGCCATTTTTAAATTGTATAAATAAATATAACAAGCAGTTTTTGAATTATTAACCCTATTCCTGCTGGCGGGGAGGGGGGGGGGTTAATTTGCCCCCCCCCCCTGTAGTTTTTTTACATAACTCAAAAAGTATTGGTATGAGGCTGTTGAAATTTTCTGACTTTTCTTACATACCCAAAGCCCTCCCTTTAGGCCTAAAACCGGGCTTTAATACTAACTGCCTGAGTCCTCAGGCACACTGCCTGAATGACTGCTTTTTCCTGTAACAAACTAAATCTTTGTTTTGACCCAATTTCACTTGTCAGATTTTGATAAAATTTAGCTTTTTAGAAAGCCTATGACATAAAAAAAGGATTGCACAAGTTTTGCAAAAAAAAAATTGCAAGTTTTTTGCAAACAACCTGTCAAAGGAAATTTGCACATTTTTTCTTAACTAAACATCAGGATTTTAAAAATTTTGCAAAACTTTTTGCATATTTAAAATGGCATGGTCAAAGGCTTTTCAAAAATGTATAATTTTTTATTTTTTTGAACAATTTTTTTTTGCAAACATTTTTACTACATAACTGGATTTTGCGATAAAAAATTCAATTTTGCAAATTTGCAAATTTTACAGATTCTAAAAGTAGAGCACAAGAGCTTTCCAGTGATGTATCATTTGTCATATGTGGATATCAAACATGGGATTTAGAGGGGGGGGGGTCAAATTGACCCCCCCCCCCACATATCCTGGTTTTCAAGTACCCCAGCAGGGATAGTGTTAAGACATTTTGTAAATCCATTATTGAAAACTCTTCTGTAAAATATAATTTTTCATAATTTCTTCTTATCATCTCAGATTTGTAGTTGCAGCGCAGTCAGCTAAGTTTTTCTGGATTGATGATGTCTGGGTAACAGGGTACCTTGGTAAGTTTTAATTAGATCTTATTTTAGAAATCAATTATTTTGTACTGATATTTTGTATTGATATTTTGTATCAATATTCTTGAAAAAGCTTCACACCCCCGTTCAGCAATCATTCTAATTTTGCATTATTTTTTTTATAATTTATTTCTGTTTTTAAAAAAAACAAAGAAAATAAATTCTTTGGTATATGTCAATAGAAGAATTTATTGAAATGTTTAGTGAAAGCTCTGGGTTTCCGTCATATTGATATGATAGAATTCTTTAAAGTGGAAATGGAGAAAGTGTTGTTGATGAAATCTGTTCAAGATCCAAAAATATACCATAAGGAACATTAGGATTTTGTGAACAATATGAAATTCATAACTTTATTAGATATACTTATCCCAGCCGATTTGGCTTTCCAAAAAAAGTCTAATATGGTACATTAAAGCTAAATGCTTTAAATCACAAGTAATTAATTTGTTTAAACAGCAAAGATATTTTCCAAAAAGAAAAGTTTACAAACATTATGTTTCTATGAAAAGGATTATTTAGCAGCTCCAATGAAGAGAAATTTTGAGGTAATTGTAGATTCAGATAATAAGACTTAAAAGGCGCTTCGCTCTCATCTTCTATTTCATTTGTAAACATTTTCTGTTTGAATACATTGTAAAACAAAATAAAAGAATCCAAAGATTTTATAGAAAACAAATTTCATGGATTTTCTAAATTTTCAAAAATCGAATTTTGTTATTAGCAAATTTTAGAAAATTCGATCATTCATAAACCTTTCCTGCATTCTTGCAAGGTCCTGTACAAAATTTGGGCCCTATCTTTTCAGCCGTTTTGACGTTTATTGGATGCAAACAAACAAACAAACCCCCATACAAGCAAAGTATATATATAGATAGTTATCAACATCTTTAAATGATTTTGTTTAGTTATCCTACACACTCAATTTAAAAGCAAGATGGTGTTATTTAAACAAGGTATAATTTTGAAAAATTAATTTGATATAAATCTTTTGGTATTTGAAATACTATACTGATAACCAGAAAACTCTGAAATAGGAAGACGAATGTAGTCTAAAGTTATGACTTTTAATAATTCAATAAGCATTGACAGAGTAGCTGTGCAGTGTGAACAGACCTTTTTCACTTAATTAGTGATTAATTATAAGTTTCTAGTAAAATTCAGGGGGACAATATAAAAATATTAAAACCTAAATGTATTATCTTAATTATTTAAAGAAACTTGCTTTATGGCAAGGTTTACCTTGACAAAATATTAAAAATCCCAGCTATTAATATGAAGCTACTGGTACAAATATATTTAATTGTTCAGTGCCTGAATAATATTTACAGCAATGTGAGCCTGCTTTCTTCAAAGGATTTAATTGCTCAACAAGTTATTGAAACATTCCTGGAGAATAAGATTTCAAAACATTAACCCGTTTTAATGAGTTCTTCTTCTTCTGAAAACACACTGAGATCTTCTATATGTTTCAAAACATTGATCAGTTAAAATTTTTTTCTAAAAACACACTTTCATCTTCTATTTGTTTCAAAACATCAACATTTGTTCCTAAATCCACACTTTCATCTTCTATTTGTTTCAAAACATCAACATTTTTTCCTAAATCCACACTTTCATCTTCTATATGTTTCAAAACATCAACGTTTTTTCCTAAAAACACACTTTCATCTTCTATTTGTTTCAGAACATCAACATTTTTTCCTAAATCCACACTTTCATCTTCTATATGTTTCAAAACATCAACATTTTTTCCTAAAAACACACTTTCATCTTCTATTTGTTTCAAAACATCAACATTTTTTCCTAAAAACACACTTTCATCTTCTATTTGTTTCAAAACATCAACATTTTTTCCTAAATCCACACTTTCATCTTCTATTTGTTTCAAAACATCAACATTTTTTCCTAAAAACACACTTTCATCTTCTATTTGTTTCAAAACATCAACATTTTTTCCTAAAAATGTCTTTGATCTTCTTTATGTTCAAAAACATTGACCAGTTTTAATGTGTGTGTTTTTTAACTAATTTGATCTTCTATCTGAAAATCGATACCAAAGCAGTTTTTATTTACTTTATGTTAAAGTTACTAAAAATGTGTTGTAAAAGGTAAACAGACACTGTTGTTGGAAAAAATAGATAAAAAAGATTTTTCAAATTATCTCTTCATAAAAGATTTCACTAAAATAAAAAAAATTATTCTTTCTCAACATTTCTCTTTTATATTGCACTAATATTGAAAGCTTTCAGATAAGTATTATTTAATGTATTATGTATGATTATGAATGAATCTCCTGTTGTGATTTTTGCTGGAAAAATTTTAATAAATCTAAAAAAGTTATAATTATTTTTGTGTAATGTAGTAACAATGTAGTTAACAAAGTAAAAGTAAACCACCCAAAGACTTTGCTAATTAAAGATAGCGCATCAGAAAATCTACGCAAATTTGACGCATTTTCTGGGGTACTGAAAGATCGTAACGAAGGTCGTCTTCTCCAGAAATGCTGACGTTTCATAATGTCGTCTTTTGCAATTGTAAGGAATTAAATAATTATTTAAAAACAAAACAAGGAAAAATTACAGCTGTACAGGCGTACACAATAGTCAGATAAATTTCCAACGCCTCGTCTTTATAATGAGCAAAGTCTTTGGGTTTACCCATACTTGTGTAGTAAGTAAAAAACCAATCCATTTGGTCCTCCAACTTTTAAAAGCTCAAGTCTCCAAAGGCTGAAGATTATAAATTTTGTAAATACTATTTTACTTCTAAATTTAAAATCTCCGGAATTATCTGTAGTGTTAAAATTGGCTCGAGTTATAAAGTTAACACAAAATGGAAATAACATACATATGTGCAGTTTGAGTTTGCAAAATTCACACTGAGCCTAAATCTAGATCTATCAGCTGATTTTAAGATCATTTGCAGACAGAGCTCTCTCATTGGTCAAATTATCATTTTTTATCAATAAGGATGCAAAGAACTTGGAACTTGAAAATTCTGTGATGAAGTCCTGAGAATTTCTAAGGAATTTCCGGAGAAATTCTTAGGAATTATTTTAGAAAAATTCCGGAGAAATTCTAAGGAAATTCTCTAAACTAAGTCTATCATTCCGTTCCTCAAAAAAATCATGGTAACCGAGTCCTGAGAAGTTCTCAGGAATTTCCGGAGAAATATTCTATAGAAATTCTCATGAATTTCTCCAGGAAAAATTCCTGAGAAATTCTAATGAATTTCTTGAGACTATGTTTATCATTCAGTTCCCCAAAAAATCCGTAAAATTGGTGACCAAGCCCTGAGAATTTCTCAGGAATTTCCAGAGAAATATTTTGTAGAAGTTCTGAGGAATTTCTCCAGGAAAAATTCTGAGAAATTCTCAGGAATTTCTCGAACTATGTAATTGGTGACCAAGTCCTGAGAATTTCTCAGGAATTTACGGAGAAATATTCTTAGGAATTTCTTGGAAAAAATTCTGGGGTAAATCTCAGGAATTTCTCAAAACTAATTCTCAAAACTCTGATCCCTTAAAAATCTCCCAAATTGGGGACCTATTCCGGAGAATTTCTCAAGAATTTCCAAGGAATCAGTCACTAGAACTTGTTCTCCTGAAATTTCCCAGAGAATTTCATCAAAGCAAGTCACCAAAACTGGAGAACTTGGAGAAATTTTTCACTTTTGTTACCTGAGTTGTAGGTAGTTCGATAATGATTAACACAAGATCCATACGTCAGCTGCAATTATCGCAGCTGACATGGACAAGAAAATCGCAATCGAAAAATCGCTGAGAGCAGCCTCTAAAAAGATAGTAGATGAATGGCACTCTTATCTTTACTCCCACATCAAGGAAATCAGGATGAGTTATGCTAAATCTAACACATTTAAAAACTCCCAAATTCTAATCAGCTTCTAATAACAAACTCGTAATATCTTCCCGCCCAACTTCAAATAATAGATGGAATTATATTGAAACCCCTAGTTTCCCTCATAATCCTTCTGATTTGAATAAGTTTGCTCAAAAAAGACAACCGTGCAAATCCTTAATTGAAGATGTTACTTTTTATTCATCGATGCTATAAAATATTCCCAACAGCAATATTGACCCCTTGGACAACAGTTTTCAACCAGTTTTTTACCAGTTGTATTGTTATAAAAGAAAATCTAGGTGAAAAAGCTATAAAGAAATATTGTAAATCTCAATAAAGTACATTGTACACCCCTGCTTTTAGCTGGGCTAGATATTTGTTCGAGTAAAATTAAAAAATAGGCTTGTAGGGCGCTTCGAACCCATCTACTATTTCAAATTTTAATTGCTGTTCCATCTGCAAACAACTTCTCTTTTGCACAATATAAAACAATAACAAAAATAAGTTATTTCCGCTCTTGCTGATCCAATAATTGTATAATTTATTTAAACAAAAACACATTTATTAAAGAGTATATGATCCTAGAGGAAAGTGGCTGAATCATCTCGCATAATTGTTTAGTTGAAGCATTAATTTCAGAGATTGTAAATATTGTTTTTGAATAAAAGGTCCAGGGTTTCCCACAATACAAGACAGTTGCAAGCAACTTAAAAGTCGTCTATAATTTGTGCCTTTCTTCTGCTTTGAATATTACCCTAGATAGGAAAAATTTTGGTTTTATTTAATAATATTAACATCTAAACTAAATTCATAATATCTTTTGTAATATTGACGGCACCAAAAAAAAAACAGACCAAATTTCGGAAATGCCAGGACTAAGAGAATTGTGCTGTTATTATTTCAAAAACCATACATGTTCAAGTAGGTTGACGACTAAATGTCACAAATAAATTCAGATATCAAAGACGACTTTTCATATTCTCACTATAACTGTCACTTGCATGTGACATTTTTATTTAAACCAAAAAAAATTTTTTTGCAACGTTTAAGAAGTCCTACCTCCTAAGGAATGCATTTTATATCTGAAAACCTAATAATTCTGTATTTAAAGTGGTTTTTGAAAAGCACATTATGCAAGACGACATTTTAAACTGTATTCGAAATAGTTTATTTTAAGGGAGGTCGTCGACCTCTTAACACTCCCCCCCCCCCCTGTAATTTGGATTATATGTACATCATCGATTAAACACGTTCGCTTGGACTAATGTTTATCTGAACTTGTCCAGTTTTAAATATAGGGACTAGAGATATCTGGTCCAAATTAGCATACAGCCACAGGGTGTCCCGCGAAACATGACAGTTTGTGAATTAGTTTAGAATGTCTTCTTCCATAATATGTTGAGTTGTTTGATACCAAAGACAATAATAAAAATATTATTTGGGAGACATTTTGTAGTATAATTGATTTCAAAGTAAAATATATTTAAACAAAAGATTTCTCTAACGAAATAAAAAGCCTTTAATATCTAATACAGTATAGGGAAGACGACATTCAAAACTATTTATCAACTTTCATGTTTCGTGGGACACCCTGTATGTCCAGTTTAAATATAGGGACTAGAGATATCTGGGCCAAATTAGCATATATTTGTCCAGTTTAACTATGTAGGGACTAGAGATATATGGTCCAAATTAGCATATATTTGTCCAGTTTAACTATATAGGGACCAGAGATATATGGTCCAAATAAGCATATATTTGTCCAGTTTAAACTATAGGGATTGAGATATTGGTCCAAATAAGCTTATATTTGTCCAGTTTTAAATATAGGGACTAGAGATATTGGTCCAAATAACCATATATTTGTCCAGTTTAACTATATAGGGACTAGAGATATATGGTCCAAATAAGCATATATTTGTCCAGTTTAAACTATAGGGACTGAGATATATATGGTCCAAATAAGCATATGTTTGTCCAGTTTTAAATATAGGGACTAGAGATATCTGGTCCAAATAAGCATATATTTGTCCATTTTAAATATAGGGACTGAGATATATGGTCCAAATAAGCATATATTTCTCCAGTTTAAATATAGGGACTAGAGATATCTGGTCCAAATAAGCATATATTTGTCCATTTTAAATATAGGGACTGAGATATATGGTTCAAATAAGCATATATTTTTCCAGTCTAACTATATAGGGACTAGAGATATATGGGCCAAATAAGCATATATTTTTCCAGTTTAACTATATAGGGACTAAAGATATATGGTCCAAATAAGCATTTAGTTGTCCAGTTTAAATATAGGGACTGAGATATTTGGTTCAAATAAGCATATATTTGTCCAGTCTAAATATATAGGGACTAAAGATATATGGTCCAAATAAGCATATATTTGTCAAGTTTCAACAAAATCATAGATAATAAAATCATGGATAATTAGTTTATTATAATACCCGCGGTCATAATATGGCCAGGTATGGGCATTTTTTCTTTAATTTTTCTGTTTTGACTGAGTATCCATTTTGCTTTCAAAACAAACGATTTTTTTCAGTAGGATCGTTATTTTTCATTACTGTACTTTTACTTAAAGAGGGTTATGTTAGGTTCCCAATGGTAACATTAACCCCTTAACAAATTATTTATACACGGTAGTCAAAAATTATATATACACGGTAGTCAAAAAAATTTTCCAAGCATTTCTTAGGATAATTTCAAATTGTTACTCTAAACAGTTAGAGACCCTTTATAATATTACGTCTACGCTCCCTTTAAAATATTACGTCTACGCTCCCTTTAAAATATAGCGTCAACGCTGCCTTTCTAAAATTACGTCTACGCTCCCTTTAAAATATAACGTCAACGCTGCCTTTATAAAATTACGCCTACGCTCCCTTTAAAATATTACGTCTACGCTCCATTTATAATATTACGTCTACGCTCTTTTTAAAATATAACGTCTACGCTCCCTTAAAAATATCACGTTTTCGCTCCCTTTAAAATATTACGTCTATGCTCCATTTATAATATTACGTCTACTCTCCCTTTAAAATATTACGTCTACGCTCCCTTTAAAATATTACGTCTACGCTGCCTTGTCTCTTTCTTTCTTTTAGAAAGTTAGGTTGCATTTATATAACTTCATAAAAAAAATCAAAGAAAATTTAATCTTCTATATATAAATTTGGCTTGTCTGTCTGTCTGTTTGTATCCAATAAACGTCAAAACGGCTGAACCGATCGGGCCCAAATTTTTTGTGGGACATCTAGGGACCCTAGGGAAGGTTTATGAATGATTGAAATTTTAAAAATTTGTCTCCATCAAAATTCGATCTTCATTAAATTGTTGAAAATTTTGAAAATCAACGAAATTTTTTTGTGAAAATCCGCGAATTATTTTTGTTTTGTTTTACGATGTACACAAAGAGAACATGTTCACAATTAATTTAGAAGATGGGCGCGAAGCGCCCTCCAAGGCTAGTATTTTTACAATAGGCTTAAAAGAAAATCGTTCATGTCCATGTTTGAAATAACACACCGGACTAACTGGAGTGAGCAGCATTCGGTTTCTTCTATTTGAAATCAAACGTGTTTTTGTCTTTAACTCAATAATCATTTTCTTTACGGATTTGTTTATGTTATACATTTTTATTCAAAATGCATATGCCGACAAAAAAGTGTTTAATAAAAAAGGCTAAAAAATTATGTTTAATGGGTCAAATTGTGATAGAAAGTCACAGCTTTCTGGAATATTGACAGAGCCGTTAAATCTACGTTATAAGTCATGAACAAAACAGAAATTAATTTATTTTATTACATTTATCATTCAATTACAAACTTTAAAATCGTAAAGCATAATTTAGTTTTTAAAATCTAAGTAATTAATCTAATTTGTTCAAGGTTAAAGACAAGGTGTTCAAGTGAACTAAATACTTACTTAAAACTTTTTTGTCTAATCACTATATCTTTGCAACTAGATAGTGAAAAAAAAACTCTATGTTTAGAATTCATATATTAGTATTTGGTTACAACGATAAAAGAATATAGCTGCAAATATTTAGTTACAGGGTGTCCCACGAAACATGACAGTATGCAGGACGACTTGAATGTCGTCTTGATTTTTGATATAATTTGCTGCGTTTATTTGTCAACCTAATTTTAGAAGTAAATTTCTAGAGATAATAATCACAAAATTTCCCTTGTCCTGCCATTTCCAAAAAGTGGTCTGCCTTTTTTGTGCTTTCAATATTGCCCGAGATATGAAGAATTTCGTTCAGATTTCGACAATTTTGCTTTTATTTAACAAAATTGAAATCTGAACCAAACTCTTTATATCTCCGGTAATATTGAAAGCACAAAAAACGCAGACCACTTTTTGGAAATGCCAGGGCTAGGAGAATTATGTGATAATTGTTTCAAGAATCATACATGTTAAAGTAGATAGAAGACTAAATGTCACAAATAAATTCAAATACCAAAGACGACTTTCAAGTCGTCTTGCTATTGTCATGTTTCGTGGGACACCCTGTAGACTATAAACGCAATAATTTCTCAGAACTAAGTTACATTACATAAAGGAAGTTTTTATTTTATATATGTATATCACAGCAAATCAAGAGTTTATGTCAAGTATTAGAAGATTAGGTAAAGAACTGGGCACAGTTTTATTAATTTGAAATTAACTGTAATTTTGTAAATGTAATTAACAGGACTGTACGTCAGACCCTCCTTTTAGATACATAAAATATCATTTACAATATTTCTTTGTAATTCATTGTCTCATTTACAACTTTTGCTTATTTTTTAAACATGGGGCTTTCAAAAAATATTAACTTTTATTCAAGACTTAAAAGACTGAAAAGACTGAAAAGACTAAAAAGACTGAAAAGACTGAAAAGACTGAAAAGACTGAAAAGACTGAAAAGTCTGAAAAGTTTGAAAAAAAGACTGAAAAGTCTGAAAAGTCTGAAAAGTTTGAAAAGACTGAAAAGACTGAAAAGACTAAAAAGACTGAAAAGACTGAAAAGACTGAGAAGACTGAAAAGACTGAAAAGACTAAAAAAACTGAAAAGTCTGAAAAGTTTGAAAAGACTGAAAAGTCTGAAAAGTTTGAAAAGACTGAAAAGTCTGAAAAGTTTGAAAAGACTGAAAAGACTGAAAAGACTGAAAAGTTTGAAAAGACTGAAAAGACTGAAAAGTCTGAAAAGTTTGAAAAGACTGAAAACTATTGAAATGTGCCATTATTTTTTAAAAACACTTTATTTCCTTTTTCTAATTTTCTCTTTAATTATTTTGTTTTATTTTGTTCCTTAACGATCTACAATTTTTATTTTGTTTGGCAATGAAATTTTCTATTAGTTTTTGATAGCTGCCTTTCATTATTGTAATGTTGACCAGTCAAACCTTATATTAAAGATTTACAAATCAGGATAACGTTTAGTGTACTGTTTATCTTTATTGTTAATTGCTATAAGCCTGCTGGGTGTTCTAGATGAACTAGAAGCATTGTAGGACATTTGCAGAGAGTTGGTTCTACTACCACCTCCCTCACTTAAACTCACTGGAGAGTATTTTGTAGTGTGTGAATATGGAACATCGTAAATATTTGGTTTGGTAACTTCTACCACGTGGGCTTTGTGTCCACTGTGTCCACTAGGTGCTGTGTTGTACTGACTGCTGCATTTTTGCTTGTAAACACTAGGGTTGGTTTGATAGATTAATGTGGAGTGAGATCGATAGTCTCTGCAACAATGTAAAACAATTGATAAAAGAATAAGAATTTATTCTGTGTTTTTTCTAAGTATCTTTTTAAATCTGTTTGTTATAAGGATTAGATACGGTCTTCAATAATCAGTCCCTTTAAAAAAGATATTGAATTTTAATTTAAGTTAACAAATGGAAAATTTATGGTTCTTCTGTTTGTTTTTAACTTTTTTGCTGATTTTCCAAAAATGTCATTTTTCAACAAAGCTTCGCTATAAAGCCCTTAATATGATGTTTTGTCACTGTCAACTCAGGATCATTTCCTTTAAGAATTATAATCAGCTAGAGCAAGCTGTACAGTACATACTATACTATGAAGAAGATGACATCAGTCAGAGAAGAATTAAAGTTACGTATAAATTTAATTATAATCATGTATAATCTCTAATCTAATATCTGAACCAATTTCATGTGTTCAACAAATAAATCATAATATAAGGCAAAACGTGACAGTACGCCCAATAAATGATGCTTTTCTAATGAAATGTGTGTGATGTACACCCTGGCAGGGAGAAGGCATGGTTTGCTAAATGAGAAATTATTTGATATTTGATTATTTTCTCAATTGTTCTTTTCCTAAAGCTTTTATGTCTTCCTCTCAACAAACAAAGAAAGATTATAAAGAGAAGAATGAGAACAAGAGCGGCCAGTCCTGAAATATGATATTATTAACTTTGTCTTTATATCATACCAATAATTCAATAGAAAAGAGGGTTAGAAAAGAGGATTGTTTATCTATTTAAATGCAAAACACAAAGTATACCTAAATATTTGGACATAGGACCATAACTGAGCATAATTTAACGCACAAAGTTCGGCTATGGATTGAATTTCCAAATTTGGGAATTTGTGTATATGTGTATTTTAAGAAAAAAAAATTGACCATGTCTAGATCCTTACCTATGACAAGATAGAGGACCAGCGGAGGTGTTTTGTTATCCAGTGGATTTGTTATAGAGAGTTCTGCTGTTTTAAAATTAAACCCTCCAGCTGAATTTGTTGCAAGACAGACATATAACCCAGAGTTCCCTTCCACAACAGCTGGTATAGCCAGTGTGCTTGTGTACATGTTCTGTCCCTGCCTTTCTATTTGACCCTCCCCGGCATGCACGAGGAGCATGTCACCAATGCTGATACTAAACTGGGAATCAGTTGTTCTCCGCAGCCATTGTATTTCAGGTGTCAGGTTTGATCTGACCTCACAAACTAGAGTTGCTGATTTACCCAGCGAAACAGAGGTGTTAGGAAACCTCTCAATTAGTGGGAGTTCAACCTTTGGAGTTTCCACTGTGAGGGAGAATTGACGACTTGCCTGTAAAATTATATATTTTGTAATCATGATCAGATTTTGAATTGGAAATATTATAGACTGCATATCTTTTTATGAGTATAAGAAGTCTGAATAAAACATAATATTGCTTTAATCCTATGCCCATATTAACCCAGTGTGTTATTCATACTTAAATATCCTTTACTTGAAGCTTTGCCAGCTCAAAATAATTTCTTTCAGGATTAAAATTGTTAAAGATTCTACCAAACAATCATCAACTTTTTTTGAAGCTGTATGAACCAGATAAATCTTGAAAAGTTCAAAGAACATGAGATACAGCAATTGTGCAGTGTAAACAGACCCATTTTACTAAATTAATGATTTAATTAGAGATTAAACTATTTTCTATGAAACAGCATCAAATACACATACGTATTGCATAAATCTTGTGTTTCTATTCCACAATTTTCTGGTTTTCATTGTTAATGTTAAACGTTCGATCTTTGATGTTCTGCTTTACCTGGCCAGCAGTATTGGTTGCTATACAAGTATACAAACCAGAATCTGATTCTTGCACTGATTGTATCTTCAGAAGAGAGTTAGATGATAATAGAACCTAAATAAATATGCACATATCATTATAGATGTGAATTGTCAAAAAAGAGTTTCCTGTCTGCGCGGCGCCCTGACATGGAAGGCAAAATATATTATAATAGAGAAACAGTAGTAAGGGTACTGCTGAGGTTGGTGCTTGCATGCATTCTTGTTAAATTTTGAAAAGTATAACAATGGAGCTTCCATTTTCTTTCTGAATAAATATTTTATAAATATCAGTAGAAACCTCAGTGTTGGGATTGACAAAAAATCCGAATTGTATATAAGAAATTTCGCTCTATTAATCACTATAAAACCTATTGCTGAAAGACTTGGTCCTATTGACAACATTTTGGGTGGCATTCAGAACCATTATATAAGCCCCATGATAAAATGAAAACCTCAAATGCAAATAATAATTTAAAATATACATAAAAGATATTTCAAACAACAGAAGGAACTCGTTTTATCTGTCTATAATTTTTGAGTTTAATGCTAATGGAGAAAAAACTTTTAATCAGTGAGAAAAATCAGTTTGAAAAGTTGTGTATTTTTAAGCTTAAGGAAGCAAAGTGCGCCTATTTTTCCCTAGGCCCTAACCCCAATCAAATTGGCCCTGCATTATTCTACCTTATTATGGAACCAAGATATGTTTGGTGGCGGGACCCCCAGGGATTCACAGTCCAGGGAGAATTGGGACCCAGGGACCTTCTTGTAGAAACTTAATAACTTCTAAACACACCAACAAACATCAGGATATTTTTAAATATTTTGTATTTAAAATTTTTAAGACGCTAAGATAATCTGCTAACGCAAAGACTGATGTTGAAAAACAGATTTTATTGTAAACTTTCGATGACCTAAACTTTCAAATTGATATGATTTGGTTTGGTTTGGTTTCCTGGGTGTTCTCTGTAAAAACCGGTTTTGCAATTGTGTACTCCTGTTTTGGTATCTTTTCTTCGTCATGATCTACAAACAAAGAAATAACATTGAAACAGGATTTCCTGCAGTGATGCTAAAATTAAAGAGATTGGTGACGTAATTTGAAGTGACTCTTCATTAATATTATATTGACATTTCCCATTCACAACAGATACTATACAAACCTATTAAACCTATTAAAACAATAAAGATATCGTCGTTTTTCTTGCTTCAAACCTGTTGAATTATAAGTATTACCGTCTTTTTTTTCTGTACAATAAATCCCCAAGTCCATTTTACAGAGAACCGAAATTGAAAAAAGGAAATTTTCTAAAAAAAAAAATAATGACAACTCCATAAATTCTAATCAGACAATAACAATCTTATTAAGAATAAAAATGGGACACTTTTTTTGATAAAAATACTCAAATCCACTTTGCCCCTGTTCTAATGAAAGTAAGTAAAAACTATTTGGATTTGTATATTTTTTGTAATTAGTCAGACAAAGGATTTTTATAGACAAATGCAAATAGAAGATATATCAAAATATCCGTCTTAAAATAAGTTGAATTCAAACACTTCAAAATCCTAAAATCCAGTAAATCTATATAAACGGCTGAATCGATCAGGCCCAAATTTTGTGTGGGACCTCATGTGACCCTATAGGAAAGGTTTATGGCTAATCAGACTTTAAATATGTATTCTTAAAATATTTTGTCTTAAATTATTAAATAAAAAAAAAAATTAAAAATGCTCGAAAAAAAATTCGCAAATTAAAAACAAATATACTGTACAAAGAGAAAATGCTTACAGATAAAGCCACAGCTAAAAGTTAAAAAAGAAGATGGGTGCGAAGTGCCCTAAAAGCCTAAAAGTAAAATTCAAAAAAAATGTATGTTTCATTAAAAGTTGACACTGGCATGCATACCGTACCCTTCCTTTCCATCTCTTTTCAAGATTTAAGGTTTAAACTTTGAATATATTTTCCTTCATGGATGTTTGAAGTTTGTTTTCAAACTTTTTAAAATAAAGTTTTATGCCCAGGGGGGTAGGGGAGGACAATCGACAGGAGGGTTTCCCTCCCCACACTTGATCAGTAAAATAGAGTATTATACAAAGATGGCTTCATAATTTTATATTGTTGCTTTATTCAATTAAATTATATTTTTAAACTGAGAAATTATCCAAACGCTAATTGATGTGGATGGGAAGTCTTTCTAGTTAGCATGCCATGCCGCAAATCCATGTTGTCTTGTTATTTGCGGTTCAGATGCTCTTGGTGTTAAGGTTGCCCTCCCTCTCTAGCAGGAGGGAGGTATTAATTTGAAGTTATCCAACTTTGAAAATTTTCTGCTAAATCGGTAAAGATGAAGATTAAAGTTTGAAGTTAGAAAATCTGTGCGGGTATATCTTCAAGAGAGTTTATCTACAGGCTTACAGTGTGCACGGAATAAAATGTTTCTGTAAATGACCACTCTAAATTCAAGGGAAAATATTGAAAGGGAATTCTCAACTTAGGTTTAAGAAGATTTTGAGATTAGAGTTTTTTTGGGATTTATTGACAGTTTTGAGATTATAAACTCATAGTTTAAACATTTCAAGGACTAGAGATTATATTTATACGACAATGATTTAAGTTCATAAATAAATAAGAGATAAAATGTTTATAAATTATTTATAGAAAATCAAATAACTTCTCGATATAGTCAATTCGGTTTTAAAATATTTAAATAATTTATCATATTAATGAAAGTTATTGTAAATGGTTTACATATGAAATGTTCTCATATATGTCTATGAAATATTTCCATATCAAATGTACAGATTATAAAAATGTCATCAATTTAAACTATCTTTCATCAAATTTTAGACGGAATAAAAAGTAGCCTGTAGCTGTAGGAGTCAAGCAATAATTTTCAAAAATGCTGAACCTTTGACAATTATTTCTGCTCGAACTGTGACTGAACCAAATCCATTAACACCTCGGCAAGTGTACACTCCAGTGTCAGCTGATTCAATATGGCGGATTTTTAAAACACGTTTTAGTGTTTTCATTCGGGTCCAGGTATGATCTATTACATCACCATTCTGAAAAACAAAACAAGTTTAATGTTATAAATGCAACTAAAAAGGCAAATTTTAAAAAGTTCTTTTGAACAAGGCAGTTTAGATAATGGCAGCTTGGAATGTTGTCTTCTTGAAATGTTGCGGCATCTATTTATAAACCAAATTAATTTGACATATTTAGTAAACACAAAGTTTCCGAATGGGTGAAGAATTTTATTCAATTTTATAAATTGAACTATAATTATTATAGAAATCTTTAAATGAACTGTAAGCGTAGTTTCACAACGGTACCATGAAAAGCTTTGTCTGATCAAGATGAATAAGATATTCTTTTTTTATATCAGAATTTATTAGAATTATTGTTTTTTCATAATGAAACTATTTAAACCAGAAAATTTACCAGATTATAAGGGTATTCATTGTGCATCGTGCCTTTTAAATGGAGGGTCATTTAAAATTAAGACAACAGTCCCTTTAAGTCGATTAGTCCCCTTAAGTCGATTAACTCCTTTCAGTCGATTAGTCCCTTTCAGTCGATTAATACCTTTAAGACGATTATTCCCTTTAAGTCGATTAGTCCCTTTAAGTTCATTAACTCCTTTAAGTCGATTATTCCCCTTAAGTCGATTAGTACCTGTAAGTCGATTAGTCCCTTTAAGTTGATTAACTCCTTTAAGTCGATTATTCCCTTTAAGTCGATTAGTACCTTTAAGTCGATTAGTCCCTTTAAGTCGATTAACTCCTTTAATTCGATTAACTCCTATAAGTCGATTATTCCTTTTAATTCGATTAGTACCTTTAAGTCGATTAGTACCTTTAAGTCGATTAATACCTTTCTCCACTCGATAATTGGTGTAGGTGTGCCGTCTATTGGACATGACACCCGAACCTCTTCTCCTGAATTTACAAATTTCAGTATTTGTAAAAAAAACTTATTCTAGTTTAAAAGTGTATTAATTTTATAAACTGGGAAAGCGAAATAGGGGTTAGGAATATGGTTTCCAGCAGTAAAAAGGCGAACTCGTTTCATGAGAATAAAAAAATGTTCGCCGAAAATTTCTCATTTTTTCAAATTTCGTTCGCTCGCGAAAATTTCGAACATTATTCAGCAAACGATTGTTAAAGTAAAAGAGGAGAAATTATTAATTATGATATAAAGCTTCTAATGCTTAGCTCTCAGAGCAGTTCATTTCACAATTTCTTTTTGCAATTAATTTGTTGCAGCTACAACACTTATGGTTTTCGCAGAATAATTTTTTACGTGAAACGTTGTTTTTGCATTTCTCGCATTTTCACAAACGTTTAAAACATTTACTTTAAGAAACATTTCCAAAAATTATCGTTTTTTTCCATATAGTCGTTTCGTTTTTTGTTTTAAAAAAATCAAAATGAACAATTCGTTAGTTCATATCCTTTTTGAATTGCTAAAATTTTTTTAAGATAAAAATTGTTTCCCTCTGGCCGGCCAAGAAATTGCCCATGGGAGGTCGTAAGAGGTCCGGGAAAACAACGCTTACTTTACCTGAAATTGCTACAATTCTTAGAACAGACACGCTGGCTACAGGAGGTCCTTTTTCCGACCTTCTCATCCTCCGGTCATGTTGACGGTCATCAAACATACCACCCCGGTCATCCAATATGATCCCCCGGTCATCCAACTTCTTATCATCTAACGAACCATTCGTCATTTGTACAACAACTGTATGAGTTTTTTTTATAAAATTTGTAAGAAAATTTACATTTTTTCATATCATATACTATTTTATAATATCCAATTACCTCTTTTTTTAATTTTTTATCTTTATGTCTTTGCTGTACAAAATAGTCCCAAAAATTTTAGATCTATACTGAAAAATTCAAAGTTGCAGTGTAGTCAGGAAAACCATAATTTTAATTTATTTAATTTATATTCATCAAACGGATTAAAACATCCAAAACATTAAAGGAAAACTGCTCATATTTTAGAAAATACAAGTTTTGAAATAAGCATCACAATTAAGCCAACATAACTGCTCGAGATTTTTGAAAATGAACAATTTGGCTCATCAATCAATCAATCGGTAATTGTCTTGTATCTTAAAAACTTAATGTCGGGGACCTTTAATATTTCTATCTTTAAATTTATTAGATTTAAGTCACAGTTAAAATTTTTTTTTGCAACCTCAGGTTACACTTTAACAATTAGTAGAATTTGCTTAGTCAAGCAAACAAAATATATAAGAAGAAAAGAACCAGTAATGTTTCGTGAAAACAGTAATTTCGCTGAGTTTTTGTGGGGATTTAAAATTTTAGGCCAATATCCCTGTATAGGGTTACGGTGCAGTCTTATGTGATGTGTTTTAGGCACAAACAAACAAACACCCAAACAAGCAAAATGAGTTGAGTTTTTGCCACAATCTCGGATTTTCTAATCTCTATATCTTTGTGACCCAATGTCGTAGACCTTAGATATTTCAAACTTTATAATACGTATAGATAAAATAATCTAAGTTTGAAATATCAAAGGTTTGCACCATTAGATTCCAAAGATATTGGAATCAGAAGATTTTAATTTGTGGCAAAAACTCAATTCCTTTACTTATAGAATAGATATCAGTGATATTTCTTTAAAAGTTTGCTAAACCCAAATACACATCAAAATATATCTTCTATTGTATGTTATTGTTATCAATATATATAATACAAGAATGTTTTGTGTAGATACAGTTAAAAGATTGTTCCAAGAATACATTTCATCCAAATAACTAGAAAATATTAAAGGGATTGTGAACGAAATTTCAAGTAACTCTACATCTATCCATCAAACAAACAAAAGTAATTTTAAGAATTAGACAATTTTTGAAATTAAGAAAAACGAATATATTAGTAAAATTTTGGTGTGTGGGTGTAGGAGATCACTAAAAGCATGATTTGATTTGATTTGATCAATCCCATAGTTGCTTATACATAAAGAATTAAAGGGTAAGGTTGTGAATTAGGCATGAAACTCTTATTTAAATGAAGAATCACTTAGAATTAAGGCTACAGTCTCTTTACAAAGTTAGAGTTGTGAAAGTATATTTTCTATTTCTTTTATCTTTCCTCTATTCTTCTCAAAGCAATGTTTTTTTTAATCTTTACTGTATATTTCTACATACAGGGCAGACCACCATAGGGGGGGGGGGGGTAATATGGGGGGGAGGGAAGGGTGCAAGGGTGGCCAGAGGGAGGGTGGGGGAAGAGCAAAGAACTATTTATAAAATCGTTATTCTTCTTTGGGTTAAACTATTTCAAATAATTCATATAGCGACTAAGGACGCCAACTCTCGCCACATAAATTATATTTTTTCTAATTCATTTATCTTTACAACCTAATGTTGTAGACCTTTGATATTTCAAAAGCACACCGTCAAATAACAAAGGTTTACACCAGGTTGCAAAGATATAGGTATCAGGAATATAATAATTGCGGCACTGTTCCTTAAAATTTTAACAATGAAATTTCAACTTTTGAAAATATTTTTCATTAAAAAAATTCTTTTAACTTTTATTTTGTTTGAAAATTAGAAAATTTACTAAGATTTTATTTTGATCAAAAAAAAGTTTCTGCATGTATTCTGTAAATATTTCATCACATATATAGCTTGGGAACCAAGCGTTGTTATAGTTAGTCCCACCATATACCCGGGCTTTGTCGTAAATTATGATTTTAACGTTTTTCCCGTAAAAAGTGGACCCACCTATTTTAGAATCTCAAAACCAAGCTAAGAACATTCATTAAGTTTTCCCGGATTCTCTGATCAAAATTTGTAGCAAATTGGACCAGGGGTTCTTGAGTTGTGATCGGACAAACAGATAATGACGGAAATATTCTCGTATATTTGCCTTGAATTTGTGGAATTTGTGTGAAAAAATGGTTTAACTACTTTATTTAAATAAATGCACCTTGTCACAACAAAAACCTCTTGCTTTTTCTGAATAAAAGTGGGTTTAAAATCGTTTTTTTCCGCCATTTTTTTTGTCTAATGCTTCGGATGGGGGGGGGGGGTAAATACTCCAATAAAATCTCATTTTTCTCTCTTTAAATGCAAGGACATAAAACAAATTGTGTTTTCCTTAAAATTAATCTTTATAATAAAGCTCTTCGTTCATACATATATTTATTTATTATAGTATATATGTTAGATATAGCTGGCCGAATTCTTTTATGGACCAAATTGGCTCAAATTTTTTTAGGGAAACACGGGCTGTACAAAATTGAATTTTTTTCAAAAATCTAATTTTTTTCTTTTAAAATAATTTTTTTTCTTTCTCGAAATTCGATTTTTTGATAATTCCACGGGCACTTGAGCTAGTTTTAAATATATATTCTAAGTTCTAGAGAGAATCAACACATATTTTTGGGGCTAAACCTAGAAACCATGCATCCCTCCCCTCCCCGGCCCCCCTCCCCCTAGGGAAAGCGTCATTGTTTAAGTTATGATGGGATGTACATCAATGCATTTATCACAAAAAAAGTGTTGCTAAAAAACTCTCCTAGCAGTAAGCTTATTCTCTTAAAAATCTTCATGCTTAAATTTGTTTACTCTTTCTTTCTTTTAAATTGTAAAAAGATGGAGGAGACTTATTTTAATGTCACTTTTCAAATTCACTAAGAACTTGTTGATTTTCACATCAGTTTGTTGCTAATTTTTTTTATTATAGCCGTCTCAGCGCGCGGTAACTAAATTTCTTAATATGTTCGTCCATATGTATGCATGATTGTGGTATTTTTCAACCATTTTTTCACAAGTTCTACATCTGGTTCTCAATCTACGAATCTTCTGTAATCTACTGTGTGTGTGAGGTTGGTTTAATGGTTCAGAAAATCCGCGAGATTTTCAGATAGAAATCCACCGGGAGATTGGTCGAGCCGGTACAACACAAACATCTTTCTGGTTGGCTAGGTTGGCAAGGCATCGGTCCGGTACATTATTATTTACTTTGCAGAGGTTTCTGTTCAGTACAGAAATATACATTTTCTACATAATTATACAATATTATTTTAATTTTTTCATATTATTTCTTACGCCCCTGTAGTTTTTTTTTCAATTACTGTAAAACCAAATTCTTAATTGTTGACAAAAAAATGATATCATTACAGTTTTCTCACAATTATTTCTAAATAAAGGAAATTTATTTATATTTGTGTTAGATCGAAGCGTAATTAACTTTCCTAGTTTTAGTGCTGTATTATTGTGAACTGGAAATCTTGATAAAAACTGACATTTCCGAAATTTCACCAGCATTTGTATACTGAAAATCGTACTTCCATTTTGCTGTATTATTTATACGTATTCGCATTTCATTTTCTTGTACTAGCTAGGTAAATTTTTTAAAAACGTATACGACATTGTGACCTCCTAGCTTCTTGAGTTTGTTTTCCATTTTGCCCCATTGTTATAAAACAAATATTTTTTTTTGCTTTTTTATTCTTCTCAATAGCTCTTCAGAGAATTAAATTGAGAATTAAAAACATGTCAAATCTTCATCTTACATGAAATTAACTCTAAGTTGACCTGCACCATAATCATTGTTATTGACATCAATCAATTTTCAGATAGAAATAAAAAGGATAACTCAATCACCTTTGATTAGGGAGGGGAAGAAGACCAGCCACAAATATTTCTCGTCCGAGCCACACTCTCCTCATTTTCTTGTCCGAGCCCGATTCTTAAAGTATTTCGAGTTGGCTCGGAAAAGAAAGTAAGCAGAATGTGGCTCGAACTAGAAATTGTTGAAGCTGGTCTTCCTCCCCTCGATTAAGCAAAGGTAAGAAGGCATGGACTTAAATTTATGTCGACGTATAACCCTTTCAACCTCTTCATGCATATAATTTCTGAAACATTTTTTTTATATTGTCATAGACCCTCATTAACTATCATCATATTATTTTTGACATCTGTTTTTAAGTTTTCGGTGTATCTATTTTTGAATTACTTTATCACCCCCCCCCCTTCATGTATTATCAAGGAAAAATGGTTTTGTAAGTTTGATTCAGTCATTATTATTTATTTTTCATACTTTGAACTCTAAAATGTATTTTTAAATGAGATAAATGAAATTTATAATTGGCAAAGAAGCAATATTTTTCCATTTTTCTTTGATTTAAGCACCACACGGTAAATATACCCCCCCCCCCCTCTCTCTTCCAAAGTGTCCTATGGGTTTGCTGGCATTAGAAATATCAAATCATTAAATAACAGGGTCTGGATCTATTTGATTTTGATTGACAGTTAATATAGTTAGTAGCATCCGGTGAATCTTTCAGGGGGGTAGGAAGGCAGCCCCCTACCTCCAACGAGCTTAATACCCCCTCAAAATTAACCAGAAGTTTACTGTACAAATCTAGCTTCAAAAATATGGTTTACTTGTAGCAAATATCACAGCAATCCCCGTATTTGTTAACCTGAGCATACCTAGATATATTAAACATGAGATACGCTATAAAACATGCATTGTGCTTAGATTAAACTGCAATCATGTCCGGAGATAGCTTAAATATGTTATATATATCCTTGCTAATCTTATAATTAGGTACATTTAACTTTAAATGTTAGGTAAATATGTAACATGATTGTCTTAATCATGTGATCTAGATAACGATGTAGGAATTACGTCAATTCACGTTAACTTGTAACATAAGATATATAAATAAAGTTAGTTTATAGAGTAACTCCGTACTATCTACTGCTAGAGATTAATCCTGAAATCCTGTTTTGATAAAACAGGTCGGATTGTCCCCATCATTTGGGATCGATACAAAACTTGTTTGATAGCTAGGAAATTGTGACATTGTGTGACATTTAGAGAGGATCATCCCCATTATTTGGGATCGATACATAACTTGTTTGATAGGTATGATTGTGTCTCTGTGATGAATTTAGAGTGTCAGATCGTCCCCACCATTTGGGATCGATATATAGCTTGAAGGATAGCTATGCTTGTGTTCCTGTGTGGCATTTAGAGCCTGGATAAATAGCTTGTTGGATAGCTACGCTTGTGTGGCATAATGAGCCAGGCTTATAGCTTGGTTTGATAGCTACAGTGATAGTGGTGTTAATGCAAAGCAAATGATTGACTCATATTTAGGTGTGTTGCTCTAGCGGTGGCATTCTTGCATGATACATACATAATACATATATATTTTTTGAAAAGCTCTAATTCGATTTTTCTTTTTTCTTTTTTTTACTTTTATCTTATAATATTCTTTTCATTTTGTTGGCAATGGTAAAGAACATTAAATAATCCTATTTCTCTTGCTATAACACTGCATCAGCCTAGGATGATCATTTTAGGTACTTCTAAACTGAAGGTTTTAACAACTGTTTGAGAAGAAGTTTCTCTGCCTGAGTCTTTTGATCCTAAACTTACTAGTTTCTTAATTCAAATTAGAGCTAGGATGTATATGTATAGTATTCACCCGTCTACAAGCCGATGATGAAAATTATTTCTAGGGTCGCCTACGAAAGTAGCTCTTATATCAATTAGTAGTTAGCGGGATTGTAACCATGTGGATTGTGTCCTGGTTGACTTTGATAGCATACGGGTTGGACTTGGATAGATATGTTTCGAGAACATGTTATGGATCGTAGGTGTTTACTACATACTTACTTAAAAAGAATAGGGCCAAGAATAAAATTGAAAGAAAATTTGCCTCTCAAGCTTTAAAAGGTAAAAGGTTTTGTTCAATGCCAATGCTTTAATATGCTGTTCTATGCTGTTATATGCTGTTCTATGCTGTTCTATGCTGTTATATGCTGTTATATGCTGTTATATGCTGTTATAGGCTGTTGTATGCTGTTGTATGCTGTTATAGGCTGTTTTAGGCTGTTATAGGCTGTTATATGCTGTTATATGCTGTTCTATGCTGTTCTGTTATAGGCTGTTGTATGCTGTTATATGCTGCTATATGCTGTTATAGGCTGTTCTATGCTGTTCTATGCTGTTCTATGCTGGTATATGCTGTTCTATGCTGTTCTATGCTGTTATATGCCAATGACGTTCAGAATTAACTTCAGTTTAATAAAGTTGCACAAATGATCTCAAAAAGTAATCTAATTTAAATCTGTCGGTATTATTTTTTATATTTTTGAACACCACGTAAATGCCAGTTTCTATATTTTTGTTCTAAATTAAAGCTTTGGTCACCTTAGTCGTTAAGGTTCTATATTAAGTTAATAATAGATAATTTAAATCTTGTCGTGCGCCGAAAATTTTCATTGTTTAGCTGTTGATAATTCTAGTCTTGAAACTATAACTAATCATTGGTTTTAATCTAGAACCCTCCCCCCCACCCCTACATATTCCAGAATGGAAGAAGTTCTCAGTTCCTTCCAACTTTAAACGTCTTCGGATTTCTATACTTAATTGTTTTCTTTGGTTTACTCGGTTCATTTATCTTCCAACAGAAAAAGTATATATAAAGATAGAAAGATAGATGGATAGATGGATAGATGGATAGATGAATAAATAGATTGATTGATAAATAAACACAGTGAGAACCAAAAATCCTTGGAATAGTAAGTAGACTTTTAGACATGAATTTAAATGGTTCAATGAACATAACAGTTAAGACACAGCAATTGTGTAGTGGATACAGACCCATTTTAGTTCATAATATATTTTACAAGTTACTTGTGAAGCTATTTGCTGTGAAATGACATTAAATGCACTTTAGTGTTGCTGAGATGTACATTGCCATAGTTTTTTGGTTTTGATTATATATATATAATCATAATCATAATCAGATCCCACAGGAAAATTGTATTTTCATGTTTTTGAATCCCAAAGTAATGATTTGAATACTAATAGCACAACATACTTATTTGATATTACAATTGTTATTTGACAAAATAAAATTTGTTAAGCATCTCAAGAAGGTTTATTTTATATTATATATCTTTAATATTTTGAAGTTTAAGCTGCTTGAAAAATATCCCGATATAATTTACACGCCTTGATGATGTAAAAATATCTACGTTTATAAAATATCTTTACATAGAAATATTTGTATCTATATCGATAGATATTTCTTTTCTGAAATCAAGTGCGCAGTGCATGTTAACAAGCCCATGTCACTAAATTAATAATTTAAAGGGAGTGTTCGCGAAAAATGAAAGGGGGTAAAGGCTTAATGCGATAAAAAAGCGCTTTTGATCGCCACTAATTTTACTTCTATCTGTTGCGTCTATAAGGAGAAAACTGTTAAAGACGTCTCATACCGAATAACTTAGCGCCCATACAAATTGAGAAAATTGCAACATACTACTTAGACCGTAAAAAATCAATTTAATTTCAAACAAATCATTCGGATTACAACCTATGGTCATCGATTATCTTTCGCCACATTTGTATATGGTTTATATTTTATAATATTTTATTTTTTTTAGAAAACGTTTTGACGGATTTCGAAAAATGTGAGATGGTGCGCGGCATTCTTAGATAGTTGCGCAAGCAACAAGAGAAATAATCAAATTGAAAACAAATTAATAAAAAAATATTATAAAACCCCTTTCATTTTTCGCGACCACTCCCTTTAATAAGTAGTTATAGGAAAGCTATTTGAAATTTGTAACAGCGTAAAATGCAGTCAGGTATTGCTATAATGTCGTCTTCATATTCCCTTGTTTTTTGGTTTTCATTATAGTTATCTACTTTATCTTTTAAAACACTTTCGTCACTAGTTCTATATCTCTATCTATCTATCTGTCTGTCTATCTATCTATCTATCTTTAACTATCTTTATCTATCTATCTATCTATTTGTCTGTCTATATATATATCTATCTATCTATTTGTCTGTCTGTCTGTCTGACAGTCCGATTCACAACGCTACAAATTAAATTTTTGTGTGAGAAAATTGATCAAGCAATTTGTTGTTCTGTACATAATTAATTTAAACAATTATGCAGCAGAAACTGAGAATAAAATTTACAGAATTTAACACTTTTCAAGAGAGAAAACAATGATATCTTCTTTTTATTGGGGTCTCGTGAAGTTACATCATCTTTAAAGGGACTGAACAAGAAAAATGAAAAGGGGTAAAGGCTGAAACCTAAACATTATAGGAGTTGATCGAGACCCAATAGAGTTCTATCTGATGTTCTTGTCTCGAGAAATTGTTAAAAAACTGTGTCAAATTTATACAAATATCATATAAAATTTTGTATAAAAATATTAGGTTCAAACAGATCATATTCAGCAAATACATAACCGATCTGAAAACAGATCATATTCAGCAAATACATAACCGATCTGAAAACGACGTCAAAACGGGCCCAAATTTTTTATTGCAACTCACATAATCCCATGGGAAGGTTTATTGACATTCAACACTTTGAACATTCGACAATCATCATTTTTGAAATAGAAAATTTGAATAGAATGTTTAATAATTGTCCTTTCAGAGAAGCACTGAAAAGCTAGAATTGTTTAAAGAAAATAGGGACGCAATGCGCCCTCTAAAAGTTGAGTGATTGAATAATTAAATTGAAAACTGGAAAATGAATAATTAGAAAGCATTCCAGCAGAAATATGACAAGTAGTTATTTTTCATGCATCGACAGTTTTCAATCTATACTTTTATTCGAATTATTTCCTCATTACTCTTTTTACCCCCTTCCCATTCTACCCCCCCTGCCCCCCCTCCATTACTTCTGAAAAGAAGAGAATGTAATTTAAAATTAATCATCCGTAGATGTCGACAACCTTGTCTCCTAAGAGGTGGGGGGAGGGGGTAGGGGGGAGACACGTTTATTGAAAAGAAATATATATCACAAATGTGACAAAATGTAACTCTGGAGTAAACGCCTACTCCAACGTTAGTTAACGGAGGGTCGTCGTTAACAATCGTTAACAAAACAACGAGCTTGACAAAAACGATAGTTTTAAAAACGATTGTTTTTAAAAAGCGAACTTTAAAAAAAAACAATAGTTACGTTTTCAGAATTGGATATTTTAAAATTACTAAATAACGACGAAAAATAAAGTAAAAATCATACAGAGATCTAATTGG